CTGGGCGAGAAGCACTCCAAGAAGCATTTGCCCTCAATCTCGTATCTTGATACTCGAGAGCGACTAGTGTGTTAGTTAACACATAACATTAACACATAGCGTTCCTTTTAGAAAGGAACGGATATTGTAACAGCTCTCATCTTGGTCTCAACTATAGCCACATAGATGTTTATCAGAGGTTGTACTAGTGCAACTGGTGTTTGTCCTCAATTAAAAGGACTAATTCCCTTAAGAGATACTTGGGAACAAAATAATGCTCCAGGCCCCTGCATGCACAAATCCCTCTCTGTTTCTTCCAGATTAAGGCAAGCCTTACTGATGTAGCATAGCAGGAAGCTTAAGGCATTATCTTTCCTAGGAGTAAATAAAGGCAGACGTTGTGATTACAGTATGGACCGGTATACATCAAGAGGAACTAATGGTGTAATATTCTATTTTCCTTTGTTTAATCAAGGTGGTTAATACCAATATGGTTGGAACTAAACAAGAAAACACTATAAAGTGAATTACTAACCTTGGTTTTAATTATTAGAATAAAGACTCATAAAGGCAATTAACTGGTATTTCTTAAAGTCTCAAAACATCAACAGGTGAAAGTTTTGAACAGTTCCTTCAATGAAACAATCAATGGTACAGGAAGAGAGGTTTTTATATAAAAGAACTGAGAAAACAATGAAAACCAGCACCTTTAATACTAACATAACTGTCATAAATTATGTTTTAAAGCACTCATTGTATTGAACTCCAGTATCAGACTTTTTTTGCCCCCAGTTCATCTGGTAATCCTGGCTACTCACCAGAATAGCGAGCGTGGCTCAGAGTATACACCCACAATCAAAGCAAAGAAATTCAGAATATAAGAAATATGAATTTTTAACTGCTGTTGAAAAGTGTTACTGAAAACTTTTAATTAAAAGACCCTCCCTCCAACACACAAGATTAATCACACTGACTTTGCTGCCATATTCCTTTGTGCTTGTAGAAAATTAAGGCGGGCTTAGACACAAGAGATATTTACCCAGAAATGTCACAATGCAGGTTTTAGCTGACTTCATTCAGCTCACAAGTGGAGTGCTCCATCCATTTTAGTGGAACTTGAAATAACGTTTAAAATGCTAAATACTAAAAATCAATGTTCTTGCTACCTAGAGATGTAAAAAGGAATCCAGGTTAACACAAGGAATTAAAAGGTATTCATGCAAGCCTGTATTTTTAATTCTTTTTTCCTGTGCAAATCCCCAGAAGTTCTGGAATGGACACGCAGGCCCCTGCGTAGTGAATTTAAAATCATTGCTAATAGCCTTGTACTCCTCAATCAATTCTCACGAAGCTTTCAGAAGTAGCCTAAAGCACATCCCCAGACTGAAACCACTGGCCTACACACTAAATATATTGGCAGTAGAGGATACTACATATACCCAACAACACTGATGGCAGCATAACACCAGCATGCCCGTGCTAAGCTTAAGCATTACTTTGGCACCAAGCCAGCGTATGAGTAGGAGCAGCACAATGTTTCACACAAGCTAACTTATGCTAGTGAGTTGAGCTTTACCACAGAGTATAGAGAAGTAACACTTCTTCTCAACTTTTTCTTTCTCCTTAACAGAAAGCTATTTTAAGAAGATACAAACAACCGAGGGTCTATATAATCTATCACTCGGGTTCCAGCAGTGGCCATAAAGAGACTATTCCGGAAAGTGAAAGTGATATTTTGACAGTTCTCTGAAATAATTGGCTTTACATGCAACAAAAGCCAGAAAAGCCAATGTAATATTGGCCATTACTAGAAAGTTATTGACAATAAAAAGCATCATTTTGTTTAAATCCTTAACCTACCCACATCTGGAGTATTGTGTGCCATTCTCATCTCAGCATCTCAACAAGGGCAGAAAGCTAGAAACAGTACATAGAGAAGGGTAACTAAAATGATTACAGGAATGAAGCAGCTGAATTGCAAGAAGAAAGCCCAGACAGCTGGGACTTTTCAGTTTGGAGAGGAAAAGCCTGGGGGAGAAAACTGAGGTTTCCAAAAATCACAAATGCAGCAGAGGAAGTAAATGTAGAACAATATTATACAACACTAGAACAAAAAGGTATTCAGTGAAAGTACCAGGAGATTGTTTTAAATCAGGTTAGAGAATAAGGACTTCTTTACACAGCAGCTAGTGAACTTCTGGAATTTGTTTTCACTACAGGGTGAGGTAGGTAGTACTGTATTCAAAAAATAATGTACACAAATTCATCAACAACAGGTCCATAAAGTCATACTAAAAGGGAACAGGCAGGGATATACCCTCTAACATCCATAATTCAAGAACAGTGGATACTGGTGAAGCACAAGAGAAGTAGGCCACAGACACGGGCAAGGCTGGCATCCTTTCCCTAAATAATACCTAAATAATAATATTGTCACTAGCAGATACAAAACACTGGGCAAAATAGACCATTGGTTAAACACAGCAAGGTATTTCTTACATTCCCTAAATGCTTTCCCATCCTTTGATAACTTTCAGCTTAGGGGATGAATCTAAAATGTTTTTTCTCCCTACTCAATCTCACTGGCACTCTCTTCCAAGTTCTTGTCTGGTCTCCCCCAATTTTTTGCATCTGCAATATTTTCTAAGTGTTCCACAGCTCTACTGCCAGCAATTTGAAGAACCACCTCTTCCTCTTTGTTTTGACTCGGCTTAGTCAAGAAGATCAGACAGACCAGAACTTCATACAGTACTCAAATGATTTGTGAACCACACTATACAGCAACACAGTAATATCTGGTCTTTATTTCCGTATTATTTTCTTAATTACCCCAAATGTCTGATTTGTATTTTTGCCTTCTTACTACTCTGTCAAGCTTTCAGCTGATATTTCAATAGAACAAACCATCATAAAACCAAGAAAATAAACTGACCATCACCACTGATGTGAAGAATATTATTTACTCCCCCCATGTTTTTATACATTTAAAAAAATACATATTTACCGCTTTGAATTACCTCCACTGTTTTATGGCTCAATGTACGAAAATGTAATCTCAAGAGGATCTTTACAATTCTTCATTCTGGTTTGGCCTAAGCTTTTAGGTATTCACAACAGTATCAACAGACTTTTGCACCTTACTGCTAACGTTCTCTTCTAGATCATTTATGCAAATAGTGAACCACACAGATCCTTAAGTCATTCCACTGTCTATTTCCACTGCAAGAGGTGACGATCTACTTCTGTCATCTACTTCCAGTCTTAGCAAGTACCTATTCTTACTATGACATTCTTATCTTACCTAGGTACAGGGTGCGGATTTTATAAAATGTTTTCAGCTAAGTCAAGTAGACTCTATTAGCTGGATCACTGTTATCCATGTTTGTTGAAACCTTCAGAAATTCCAAGAGATTTGTAAGGCAGGACTTCCCTTTGCATAAGCCATGCTCACTTTTCTCAAGTAACATTCATCCAAGCAGTTTTTTCAGTTAGGCAAAAAAACAAAACAAATAACCCCTGCTATTTGCACACCTTTGCATGCAAGTCCCAAAAGCCTGCAGTCAATCTGGTTTTATTGGTTCTTTTAATACCTTAAATTCTACCTTTCAAAGGGGAAATAAACACTTTGTTATACACCCATTGTGTATAGTTTAATCACTTTGACCTTGGTAACCTGCTTTAGCTCCATTTTGCCTCCCTACAGTTAGGTTTTCAAAGAACCTCACAACTTACCAGAACTAATTCTAAAATAAAATTAACTCCTGTTATGTCTTTAGTGTAACTTGTAATCCCTAGCCACATCCAAACAAGTAGTTGAAATGCAAGTTCATCAGTTTTTCAAACAAAGCAAATTTAAGGGTAAGAGTCTCTATTTTCTTCTCACAGTAAAAAGCTCGTCAAGTCTGCTACACAGACTATATAAAGCCTTGGCTTTAGACTATTTAACACAAATAACTAAATTAAGTTTCTGGACTGTCAGGAAGAACATTTGAAAGTGAAGACATACGATCACCTTTTCTGTTCTCAGCGTACAGCATTGCCTATCTACCAGCTAGGATTTCTGACCACCTACAGAAATGCAAGTAAACTTAATTTGCACAAATCTCTTATGGAAACATTTGTATAGTCTGACAAAGAGATTTGCCTAATATTCCAAGTGTCTATCAATTTCAGCTATATCACAGAGTACCAGATAAGGAAACTCTCTGTGCATTAGGATAGAGAACAACAGACTAAAGGGAACTTAAAAGTCCTATATAAACTAGACACAGAGAAAAGAGACTTCTAAGTATGTGGTCGAAGTCCCATCATGAAAGTTCTCTAAAGAAAGCTTAGGCAAACATCAGCGGAAGTGATCTTTTAAAAAAGGAGAAAGTGAAAGGAAAACGCATAAATCTAAGGAAGGCTTTTGGGGATAATGGTAACTAGTAAGGTACCATTATAACAAGAAAAGCACAAGCATACAAACTTGCCTGCCTGGATATAGAACAAAAACAGGTTAACTAATCTGCTTGCAAAACAGAAGACTGTCTTGTAGCTGGAAAAAAGCTGTATTAGTAAATTAACAATTTCCATTATTTTCATGGTGTCTCTTATTATTCTTATTTCATTCACACCAAATCTTTGGGAAGTAAGAAAAGGCTAAACACTACAAAACCACTGAAGAACATACTCTTCAAAACTACAAATCTTCTATTGATTGTTCAGAATGCAATTTGTCTGGCTCTTAGTTAACTGACAGACCATTCAAAATATGCATTCTTGATCTGTCTAAATATTGAAAGTAACAGACTAACATACAAACACATTCCGAGTATTTCACATTCAGTTATACCAAATTAGGCAAATTCTGCAGTCATAGAATATTTTAGTATATATTACAATATATCTTCTGAAAGTGGTATTTGTTTATATATTTAATAATTTAAATATAAACACCTTTTGGATTTCCATTACAAATTATTTGTCAATTAAAGGCCTAAAACATATACAGTGGTGAAAGAAAGGAGATTGACTCTTACCTCCATCGCTAATGCAGCTGTTTGCTGGTCATAATGATTCAGAAGATTAGGCATAAAGGTGGTATTGTAAGGCAGATCCTGGCACATCCGCAAGATGATGGGCTCACAAGAAAATAAACTGTGCCCTCTTGTGCGCCCCACCAAAACATCCAAAAGCCAAAGATAACAGAACATCCAGCTAGCAGCCATCCTTCCAAGCAAGCGGGGCCAGTTATGGACCCCAGTCAGAAAACTCTTCAAACTCCTCACGTACCTTCAGATTTTACTTTAATGCCAATAATTTCAGTCCTCATTTAAGGTTCTTCAAAACTTGAAAGCTCTTTGTGTACAATGCTGTTCGTTTAGTCCAGAAGATGTGATTAAGATACAGGTGTGAGACATCTTGCTTTTTCTTTTCACATTATTATATAGTATGTTTAACGTTAAGATATTAAAACGTTTATCCACATTCCCACACAACTGACCCCATCCTGACTGAACAGCAGCCGAGCTAAGTTCTTCTTTTGTTAGATGGCCTGAAACAAAAAACAGAATACGGTAAAAAGCCCTGTAATTTATTAAAGCACTTAACTCTAAATAGTCTGTTAAACAACTTGCTTGAAATTATCAAGTGTAAGAGCCAAGCGCAAGATTAGAAGGTCCCTCGCTAAGTTTTAATTCTGGTTTCACATTTTCTCTTGTGAGAAAAAAAAAAAAAAAGAAAAAAGGTAGTATGCTGTAAAATTCTATCTGAAACAGATGGGGAAGGAGGGAAACGTATTTACTATTGAAGAAAATATTTTTAGAAAAAAAAAAAACACACCTTAAACTTAGCCAAGTGAGGATTACAGTCGTTGACCACATTGAAACCAAACTATTTATGATTCGGCGTCTCCACAGGTATATTCACAGTGATAGCATCTTTAGTTGCATGGTCACATAACTTCTGCTGAATAATTATAAAATAAAAACAAAACAGTCACCACCACCAATAAGCAAGTCACAACTTGCAGTTTTGAAGACTACGGTTCTGCCTAGCAAATCACATTCACAGTTTGGCTAGCTGTCCTGAAACACAGATTACTAGTCCAGTTGTAAAGACCTTTTTTGTTGCGTCTAAGCTGCTTTACTTGCGCACAAATGCCAGACACAGGCTGGCCTCAAAATATTAAACATGACAAGGAGTTATGCCCTATTCAGAACAACTTTACTGAATCACACCAACAAGAGAGCTGGTCAGATCAGTTACTGCTCCTGGTTTATAGGGACCAGATCAATGCCCCATCAGGACTGTACAAATGAGAAAGCCCGTTCTTTTACGCTGAGGTCTCGGGGCTACTCCAGCGCAGTCTGCCGTGCCTCACTGAGTACCTTGTACTGCCTCCCATGCAACCTAGAAGATATTGCCCCTCCCCATAGCAAAGAAATGAGAAAGTGCTACCTGCAGTATGGTGCACTCTATAAACCACCATAACAGCATAGGATAAGCCAGAAGACAGCAAATTTCGATCATCCCTTTCTCCACACACTGTAAGATGGAAACTGCAAAGGTTGCATGGTTGTTCTGCCAGTTCCATAACATCTATAGAGACAGTTTAAACAGTAATCGTTCCCTAGGGCTGGATCTGCGCTTTTTCAGCGGTAGGGGGCTGGAGGTGGAACAAGTAGAAAAGGGACTCGGCTTATTGCACCAGTCTACTAGAGAAATAAACTCTAGAATCAGAGGCTAAAGCAGCAAAAAAAGCAGCCAGAGCCATAAGAGTACAAAGAAGCCTTTTTCCTATAACAACTTTGTCTTGCAGCAACGAACCTGCAGAACTCAGTCCTCAGCCAACTGCTTTAAAAAAAGAAAATAACGGCTTGCATTAAAAGGTAGCAGATTCAGAAATTCTGTTTGAACCAGAAAACCCCAAGTACTTCACCAATATTCCCAAGAGGAAGCAATGACAAATTTGAACAGACTTCCAGTCTTGAGAGTAATTGTTTTCCTCAGATATTCAGGATGATAGATAAAGTCTACAAGTCAGAGAAGGAAAAAGTTGATCCCTTCTCTCACTAATGCAAACTTAGTGAGACATACAAAAGAGTTGATTGTCAGATCTCTCCTGGAAAAGTCATATCAGCTGATCAAAAAAGTTATATGCGCACTTAACATTTACATAGACCTGCCTTACGGTCAGAAAAATTAGATACCATACATCTCTAAAATGATTTTGACTGCTACCATTTGAGACTGCCTGTTTAAAACAGACATGAAAACAGGAAAAAGACTGAGCTGCTAAACATAATGATGTTAATTTACATTCATTGACATGTTGCTTCCAGGCTGCTTACTTCCTCACAGCTATTGACAGGGAATCAGCACTCAAGTACATAAAGAAAAGAACACACATAGTAAAACAGTCCTAAGCCTAGGAAAAGCATAACATTACAAAAAAAAAGTAGAAAATAAAACTTTCTAAACCTCAAGTTAGGCAGCAGAATCAAATGACATAGCTTAAATCAAAGCATCTAGCTTATATACTGAAGCAAGCAAATATTGCTGGGAAGAGCAGTCAGGACATTGAAATTAAAAGAACAAAATCAGCCACAATATTTAAGACCTGTTATATCTACCTATGCCTGATTTTTATCCAATTTCAAGTTCATATGGCCTTGAAAAGCCATGCCCTTCTAACTGAAGAAAGTCATTCCTCAAACTTGTTTTTCAACAGTTTGGTGTATCTTTAAAAAAAAATAATAATAAAAAAACATAGACATGAGCTGTCCCAGCTTCCAGGCAGCATTACTTAACTCTGAAGGTTTTTGCATATTACCACCTGATCAGAGTATTACAAATTATAGACAGAACCAATTCCTGCTCAATTTTGTACAAGCTACCTACCCCTCTTTTAATCTAGGCCTTTGATTTTAATAACGGTTCCCCAAATTCACCAAAAGAAGCTTCACTTCATTTTTTTTTTTTAAAACACCTTGGCAACCAACTCAAAAAGACTATTCAACAGCTTAAGTGAAGTGAACTTCCAGTATAGATTAGCAGTTGCCTCTTCAGCACAGATTCGTGTCCCTATACCTCAGTTGCCACTCTAGCAGTGATTAATTAGATGACGCTTCATAAGAGAAGCTCAGAAATAATGTAAGATGAACTGTACCCACAGTAGGCATTACGTTAAAGTTTGCAGCACAGACGTTGGGCGAATCCAGGTCAGGATCTAGAGCCTAGTGAATTCTTGGGAAAAATTCCAAGTATACTTCACAGAAAGCATCATATTAATGACATTCAAAGTACTGAGACTCCAAACAAATCTACCAGTCCTCTGACTTTCCCACACCTCAAACTGAAGACACACACACACACAGACTCAGTAAACCATGACAAGCTAATTGTGTAAAAGCAGGAAAAAAAAAATTCAGTCCTCTCAACACTTTCCTATCTTACTATATAGTAATAAGATCTTGTTTGCATCATAAAAGGATATTAAGAAAATATTTACTAGAGCCAGAAAAGAATGTCAAATTATAAAGCCCAGTCACCCAGTGCCCTTTCATGGAGAAAAAAAATCTAGGTAAAATTAAGAAAAATAAAAGACTATATCTTTGCAAAAGCCAAAGGAGGCTGAAGTTTTGCATTCTAACAGCTTGGCTGTAAACTAGGGTCAAATATAGATGACCTATTGATTTGTGTAGACAAATGAGTGCTGCAATACACAATACTTAGTTTCAAGATAGTTTCTTACCACAGATCTAGTTTGGTATGCTTTGTTAAGCCTCTGCAGGTGAATTTTTGTGGTTATTTTTACATGTATATAGAAACAAAATAAAATACATTTGATGACACCAGGGATAAAAGAGGAGGAGGGGATACCTTCCCATCTACCCCAAGGCACTGTAAAAAAAAGCTGTGGGCAAAAAGGGTAGGAAACAACCACTTGATTAGTGTGGTTACGGATTTATACGGTATTTATATTTGTACAAGCCCATCCACTTCCTACTCTAAAGGCTAAATTAAGATATGCATAGAAGACTATTATAAAGAGCGAAAATCACGAAGTGAAAGGGTTGACTCCCACAAGCAAAAATTTTTTTATCAAATAAATTTCAAAGTTATTAAGGGAGCAGTAGGAGGAGCAATGAAGAAAAAAAAAGTCACCTGGCTTCAGAAAGAGACTGTGTAGGTGGAAATATGATATTCATGATTACCTACCCCAGAGAAGGGAGGTGACAAAACAAACTAGATCCCTCCTGTAAAACTAAGGGCACATGGGGAGAATGTCACCTTGGCCATTCCCCAGCCAATTCTGATAGTGGAGAGAGAAGAGGAACTCACTGTACTGCATACAAGCACAGACAGTACTTCCACAACTGAATCCTCACCCACATAAAGGGGAATGATATATTCTCCTAACTCCATTCTAATTAGTCAGTGGGAAAGAAACTCCAGTGCTGTACTCCCCTGTTCCACTTCTGTCACATATTAAGGGAGAACCACACTGTAATGCCCCACATCCTTTATTGCAACTAGGAGACCATGAAGGAAGGAGGGCAGGTACTACATTTCCCCATTCTTCCATATGTTCGCTCTCCTCCTCACCACGCTAGAAGGCAGAACGAAGAAAGGTGCACAGCATCTCCTCTTCTCTCTCTGCTCCCAGGGACGCAATGGTCACTGCTTCACTCCCAGCAGGGAGGATAGGAAGGTAGAAACCTTTTCAGGTTAACCTCTCCACATATATGGAGGGAAGGGAAGGGAAAGGGGACTTGCCTCCCACTCTTGTTGGGCCCCTGTCATATTGGAAACAGCAGGGACAGAAGAGGGAAAAGTCTAGCTCACATATGCCTACTCTTGCATTACTACTGCATTGCAAGGAACAAGACAGCATCATCTTATTAAAAAGGGTGGGGGAGAACACAGGAGCTGGACAGATCTAGCATCTCTCCATTTGAGTTCATATTGCATTGCAAGCTAGAGGAACTGGAGGGGGAGCTAGCTAGCATCCCTTACGTTGAAAGGGGAAGTAGGGTGCAGCCTGCACTAGCATCCCCTTTCCCCTCGGATCCTCACTGCGTTTTTAAGGGAAAAGGAGGGACTGCGTGCATGGGATCCTCTTGGATTCTCGCTGCATTGCAAATGGAAAGGGAGGGTGTGCGTGCCTAGGACTAGTACCCCTTACCCCTGGCTCCTCACGGCATTGCACAGGGAAGGGCAGAGTGCATGTGCACAGAGCTAGCATTCCCCTGGGTCCCTGCTGCACCGTGACGGTAAAAGGGTGGCGGAGGTACGCATGGGACGAGCATCCATCTCCTCCTGGGTCAGTGCTTCTGCCTTGCAAAAAGAGAGGAGGGAAGTGCGTGGGACTAGCAACCTCCCGGGTGCACTGCAGAAGGAAAGGGGGGGGGGAGAGAACGGGCATCCCCGTCCCTTTGGGTGCCCGAGGCACTGCTAGGGCACTGCTAGACCCT